GGCTTCCGGGAGGGGAGGGCTGCGGCGACCCCTCCTGCCCCCAGCCCGGCCCTGCACACCTTCCCACCTGCACCATCTCACCCCGGGTGGGGGGGTGAGATCCGGATCTTCCCCCCTTCCCCCCTCCCCTGCCCTGTTCAGCTTCTGATCACCCCACACACACACCTCATCTCAGCCCAGCCGCCCTGGCTGCCAGGCTGGGTTCGAATCCCGGGCCCCCCTGGGCCTTTGCTGCTGCTGCACCCGGACTCCCCCACTGCACCCCATCCCACCCTCCCTCCCTCCCCGCGCCCATGTCAGCTCCTGACCCTGGGCCCTGCTGCCCCCCCACCCCTGCTGCCCCCCCACCCCTGCTGCCCCCCCACCCCTACACCCCTCCTCAGCTCCAGCGCTGACCCCGGGCCCCTGCTGCCCCCCACCCATGCACCCCGCCTCATCTCAGCCCCAGCGCTGACCCCAGGGCCTTTGTGGCTGCCCCCCCACCCCTGCGCTCCTCCTCATCTCAGCCCCGCTTGGGTCCCAGTGCCGGCCCTGACCCCCCCCACCTCCCCAGCCCTGAGCTGGGGGGGGTCCTTGCGTGCCCCAGGAACTGGGGTTCTCCTGACCAAGCTGGAGTGAGGAAAGCGGGGAGGCCTGAGGGCCCTGCTGGCACCCCCCTCCGCTTGATGAGTCCATACACACACACCCCAAAAAAAGAAGAAAGAAGTCTACCTCCAGAATTCCTTTTGGGGAGCTAAGGTCGCTATAGGGATGGGGCACCGCCAGGCCAGGCCTCCACGGGGGAGGAGGGGCGGGGAGCTGAGCTGTTTCCAAGTCCTCTGCCCCTCCTCCCCCCCTTTTTCCCCCCCTCTGTAATCGGCTCAGCCTGGTCCCCCTGACCTCCCTTCCCCCCTCCCCCTCCCCCTGCCCTCCCCCCCCTTCTTCCAGCTGAGTCTCTTGGCACCTGAGCCTCTGTGTGTGGGGGTGGGAGGGGAACCCAATCTCTCTTTTCCCTCCATCTGGCCTGGTGGACAAAGGGCAGTTGGAGGAGGGGAGGGGGGGGAAACCATCTGGTCCTGCCTGGCTGGGGGAGGGGCCTCCGTGGCAGACAGTCCCCAAGGGGCAGGGGGTGGGGAGGGGAGAGAAGAAGAGAGAGGAGGGAAGGGGCTCAGGACACAGCCACAGTTGGGAGGGGGAGGGTGGCTTCACTTTATTTCTACTGATTTCCATAATCTGTTAATGTACACACACACATCCCTTCCATCACAACCACTACCAAAATCAAACCTCAGTAGGAAACAGGTTTATCTGAGAAAGATCCAAGACTTGGTAACCTAAGGGAAATAGGGGTACCCCCCCACACACACACTCTACCCCCAGGAAGAGGAAAAGCAGAGATCTGAGAGGCAGAGGTGTGTGTGTTTAGAGGTTGTTGGTCCTTCTCTTTAGGGCTGAGACCTGTTGCAACCTATGGGTGGGTGGGGCCTTGGTTGGCCACGCCCCCTCAAAGTCTGACAAGGTCTTCTCCGACAGGGCCTGATTCCAGGAGATTTCCCCATTTACCCCCCCCCCAACCTTCCTGGAAGGCTGGCTTATGCAAATGAGGCAAGCCCTTTTGTAAGGTACAGAGGATATACCTGTGTACCATCCCAGGTGAGGGATGGGTTCCCCCAAATATATCCATGGAGCTTGTATTTATCTATGGTCTACGTGAGAGAGGAAGGCAGGGCAGAGAAGGAGAAAGCCAAGCAAGAAAGTGAATGGGAAAAGCAATTCCTGAATTACTCTCCACCAGATGACTTCCTTGAGTTCCTGAGTATTGGTTTTGTTTCTTTTTTTCCACTTGATTTTTTTTTTTTTTACCTCCTTTAGTCTCTTCAAGAGAAAGAAGCACCCAGAGAAAGATGCACCGGCTGCATGGACATGATTGAGCCAGAAGTAAAGGAATGAGAGAGAGAGAGAGAGAGAGCCCAAGGCAGGCTGCCAGCCCACCCCATCAGCAGGGCTGAGTCTCAAGCTAGTCCCTGCAGGAAATCCAGCAGCCCTCGATGCCACTCTTCAGGTTTGTCCAGGTAGCAGGGGTGCCCTGCTCCCTCCATCACCAACACCCTGTGGTTGGGCAGCTGCTTCAGATGTTCAAAGCTGCTGGATCCCATCGGGTCCTGATCACCATAGACAATCAGAGTCGGTGTCTAAGAGAAGGGAAAAGAAGGAAGATTCAGTAGGGATCCAGCCTCTTCAAGGCCGAGACAAGCCTTGGGGGGGGTCACACCCCAGCACACAGCTGGACACAGGGGCTTGTGGCACAGTGGGGGTGTGGTGTGTATGTGGGGGGGTCAGTTCCCCCCAATAAAGTCACCCCCTTGGTTTCCCTGCCCCAAGATGTGAATGATGAAGACTCGGAGATCAAACCTTCCTTGCCAGCGCTGCCGTCCTTCCCCTCCCCGCCCCCAAACAGGAACATCTCAGCTTCCCAACACAAGGTACCTTCACTCTGGCATAGTCAGCAGCGCTGATCTTGTCTGTGCAGATAGGAGCCACCGGCACATAGCCCCGGATCTGGGAGCCAGGGGTGGTGAGGAAGGGCAGAGAGTACATGCCACTTAAAGAGGGGCTAATAACAACGGAGGGGCCCAGTTCCAAGGCATCCACCACAGCCATCAGAAAGCTGCCAGGGGCCAGCTCCCCAATAGGGGCGGGAGCCGTTGCTTCCTTAGAACGCCCCAGACCTGCAAGAATATATGGGTATAGGAGAGATGAAAACAGGAGTCATGAGTGGGAAAACATGGAGTCTCTTCCTCCAGGAAGCCCTCTTAGATTAACCTCTCTGTGCTCAGCTTTCTTTCTTTCGTGGGACTTGAACTCAGGGTCTGGACACTGTCTTTGCATGTTTTCACTCCAGGCTAATTAATGCTCTACCAGTTTGAGTCACAAGTCTGTGAGATACTTATCTCTACAGAACCACCAGAAAACTGGAAGTGGTGCTGTGGTAGAGTGCTCACCTTGAGCTGAAGAGCTGAGCCCAGGCCCAGAGTTCAAGACCCACATGTGAAAAAAAAAGGTAATTAAAGAACCTGTCATTTAGGACTACTGTGAAAACAAAGTTAACTGCTTACAAAGGGACTTGACCCTGAATTGGCACAGGGTGTTGAGCCCAGAGGATTGTGGCCAAATTGGGGAGGGGAAGGAGAGGTGTGGTTAGCAATCCAACTTCCTCCTTAAACAACAACCTTAGCTCCCAACCTTTGCCCTGAGGTCCAGCCCATCCCACTGTGGGAACCAATCAGGCTAGGAGGACAAGGCCTGTTCTTGAGGCCTGGCATCGTACCAGCCCTGGTATGATTTGGCCCAGGAGGGGATCAGATCAGCCATCAGCCAAGTCACCCCTTCCACACTGGATACCAAGGGCTTTGGGCCTGGAAGGATTGGGTTATAGATAGTCAGGGCCTATGCATGTGAAAAGCTGACTAGGAGCCAACCCCAAGGTGTCAGGAGACTGGAATCTCACCTCTCAGGCTTTCCAATAGATTGCCAATTGAATATGTTTCGGACCAGTCAGCTGAGCAACCATTACTGCCTGCCATGTACTACCGTGTATATGGCATGTATCATGTAGGATGTGTATTACACAGCGTAGTCTCACACAAATAATCTCACTCCAGCTTCCCCAGGGCCAAGCCCAAATGTGAGTGTAGCACTTTCCATTGTAGATAAGGAAACGGTGGCCAGGGGACAGTGGCTCACACCTGTCATCCTAGCTACTCAGGAGGCTGAGATCTAGAGGATCATGGTTCAAAACCAGCCCGGGCAAGGAAAGTTCATGAGACTCTCATCTCCAGTGAGTCACCAGAAAACCAGAAGTAACACTGTGGTTCAAAGTGGTAGAGTGCTAGTCTTGAGCAAAAAGCAGCTCAGGGACAGTGCCCAGGCTCTGAGTTCAAGCCCCAGGACCGACAAATAAATAAATGAAACAGAGGCTCAGAGACACAAGAGCTACCTTCCATACCCCAACAGTACGAAGCAGAACTTGCTCCGTGTACTGGTGGCTTACGCCTGTCATCCTAGCTACTCAGGAGGCTGAGATTGGAGGATTGAAACCCAAAGCCAGAAAAGTCTGAGAGATTTTTATCTTTGGTTTGAGCACCAAAAAAAAACTCCCAAAAAACAAAAAACCCAAAATGTAGGTTTGGTTAAGTGGTAGAGCACCGGCCCTGAGTTAAAGCCCCCATAACAGCACAAATAATAATAACAGTAAAACACTAATAATAATAGTAATAATAATAATAGCAAAGCCAGGCACCAGTGGCTCACACCTGTCATCCTAGCTACTCAGGAGATCTGAGGATCACAGTTCAAAGGCAGCCTGGGCAGGAAAGACCATGAGACTCTTCTCTCCAATAAAAACCATCAGAAAACCAGAAGTGGTGCTGTGGCTCAAGTGGTAGAGTGCTCACCTTGAGCTGAAGAGCTGTGGGATAGTGCCCAGGCCCAGAGTTCAAGACCCACCACTGACAATAATAATAATAGCAATAATAAGTTGAACATTGTCCTACAGTGTCCTAGGCAGAGATCAGAGAAGCTCAAAGTTCTCTTGCAATAGTAGGCATCCAACTCTGCAGCTCAGGGCCTACACCTGGCTTGGTCCTCCCACTCTCCCAGCCCCCCTTGCCCTGAGTCCCCAAACCCTGACCCAGAACCTGCCTTCGATGCACCTACCTGGCAGGTCAATCGCCACAGCCCGGTAGCCAGCCTCGGCCAGCTTGTGGAGAGTACCCAGGTTCTGCCAAGTCTCCGAGGAGAAACGAATACCATGCAATAGTAACACAGAGAAACGAGCAGCCTGTCCACTGCCCGGCCGGGCCTCTCGGTAAAACAGCGCCTGCTCCTGTACCTGGATGGTACCATCTCGCTGCTGTATGTGGGACATGGCTGCCGCAGCCTCTGTCCCTGATCGGAGAACCTGTAGTTCAAAGCCAGGCTGATGAGGGAAGGACCATGCCGAGTATATTGTTCTGATGGAGCCAAGAGGCGGAGCCAGGAGGCCTCTAGGGACTGTCTTTAGGCACCTGTACCATGCAGGTGTTCTACCCGACTCGGGCCGCTCAACTGAATAACCTCCCCCTCAGCTTCCTCAATAGCACAATCAAGGAAGGATATAATTGTGAGTTGGAGAAAAGTGAACTCAAGAGGTGGGTCTCCCCTTCCAGCTGATTGGGCCCTGATCCTTTTCTAGAAAGGAGGCAATTCAATTGAATTAGTTCTGAGGCACTGGATAGGATTAAATGGGGCCACAAACAAACAGGCCCACGCCTGTCATCCTAGCTATTCAGGAGGTTGAATCTGAGGATCACGGTTCAAAGGTGGCAGCCCCAGGCAGGAAAGTCCGTGAAACTCTTATCTCCAGGGAGCCACCAGAAAGCTGCAAGTGGCGCTGTGGCTCAAGTGGTAGCGCGATCGCCTTGAGCTGAAGAGCTCAGGGACAGTGCCCAGGCCCAGAGTTCAAGCCCCACGACTGACAACAAACAAACCAACACCTCTGACACTATGCTTAGGATATAGTAAGTGCTCCATCATGGACTGTAATGTCTGGCCTATGGACCTCATCTAGCCCAATCAGGCTGGTCCAGGCTGGGTGGGAGGAAGCCCAAGTGTAGGGTTTTAAAGGGCCCACCGTCCCAAAGGTGGAAATCCAAGCAAACAGCAGGGCAGGCCAAGACCTCTGGGGATTCCAGCCTGCAAGAACACAGGAAGAAGGACAGCTCCAAGGGAAAGAAGGGGAAGCCCAGGGGGAAGGCGAGAGTGGGTCCTGATTGGAGAGAGGAAGAGATGATCAGGGGGTGCAAGGTGGGTACCTGCGGAGCGCAGAAAAGCAGGCGAAAGGCCGGTGTGGATGGGGCAGGAAGGGCAAGGAAGGAAGAGGTTGGTCCAGGGGGTGGGGTAAGGGGTGGGACAGGGGAGCCATGCGCCCGCGTGCGCCATCTTGTGGCATCAAGCTGCTACTGCATGCGTCCTCACCTCCAAACTTCTTAGAGCAGCCTCAGTTTCCCCAAGCCATTCTGTCTCACGTGACCCAAGAGCAGGAACTCTCAGTGACCAGCTCCCTCTGCTACGTCGTGGTCCGTCCCCAACTTTGAGTAGAAGAGTTCTTTGGGATCCAGATGTTCTCTTTTTTGGGGTGCACCTGCTATACTGTCGTCACCAATCAGGTTAAGAGTGCAAGGCTAGCTGGGGCACTGGTGGCTCATGCCTGTCATCCTAGCTACTCAGGAGGCTGAGATCTGAGGATCACGGTTCAAAGCCAGCCTGGGCAGGAAAGTCCACTCAGAAAACCAGAAGTGGCGCTGTGGCTCAAGTGGTAGAGCACTAGCCTTCAGGTGAAGAGCTGAGGGACAGCACTCAGGCCCAGAGTTCAAGTCCAATGACCAACCAAAAAAAAAATGCAAGGGTCAGTGTCTCACACCTGTAATCCTATTCAGGAGGTTAAGAACTGAGGAGCATGGTTCGAAGTCAGCCCCAGCAGAATTAGCTGTGAGACTCTAACTTCCAATTCATTAGCTAAAAGCTAGAAGTGGAACTGTGGCTCAAGTGGGTAGAGCAATAATAGCTTGGAGCACCAAAGCTCAGGGACAGCGCCCAGGTGCTAAGTTCAAACCCCAAGACTAGCACCAAATTAAAAAAAAATATATATATATATAAAAGAGTCCAAGGCTCAGCCAAAGTCCAGCCAAAGATGCTGAACCTGTTTTTCTGCTGGTAGGATTGCCAACTTCTGCAAAAGAGGTGAGCTGGGTGGGCTATTCACTGCTGAGCTTGGAGGTACAGCCCTGAGCCTAGACACTCCAGAATTTGGTACCCACCTCAGTTCTGACCATGTGTGTGTGTGTGTGTGTGTGTGTGTGTGTGTGTGTGTGTGACTGTAGAGTGTAGATCCAACACTTAATATTTAGCCTTCACACAGTTTCTGAGTCTTTTTTTTGTTTTTGTTTTTGGTTGGTCATGGGGCTTGAACTCAGGGCCTGGGCGCTGTCCCTCAGCTCTTCAGCTCACGGCGAGCGCTCTACCACTTGAGCCACAGCACCACTTCTGGTTTTCTGGTGGTTCATTGGAGATCAGAGTCTCATGGACTTTCCTTGCCCGGGCTGGCTTGGAACTAGGATCCTCAGATCTCAGCCTCCTGAGTAGCTAGGATGACAGGTGTGAGCCACCTGTGCCCGGCTAAGTTCTGAGTCTTGGACGACTACCCTAAGTGCTGTGATGATCCAATGAGCTGAGAATTTTCCTGTATTTCACAGAAAATAGGGGCTTGACATGAGTGGCTCACGCCTGTCATCCTAGCAACGCAGGAGGCTGAGATCTGAGGATCTCTGTTTGAAGCCCAGCCTGGGTAGGAATGTCTATGAGATTCTTACCTCCAGTGACTCACCAAAAACACACACACACACAGGAATCTGGATGATTCTCTTGCCAGCTATTGGGCCAAAAACAATCTGAAAAAAGAAAAAGTTGTGGATGCAGCAGGAGAGATCACGATGCATTTTTGGGGGGAGCCTCCCCTGTGTGGGGATTGTTTAGTAACCCAGCCACTAGGCCGGCAGAGGACTGCGCAGTCGCAATTCATGGCTCAGCTTTCCCCGCCCACTCCCTCCCCCCCCCCCACACCCAGCAGCCAATCAGAACCCTGATGCTGCTCTGAGGGCCCGCAGGACTCAGCTGGGCAGGGCCCAGGCCTGTCCCGAGGTAGCCAGCCTGAGCACCCCACACCCCAATCGGCTGGTGAGTACCCCCAGAAAGAGGGGCCTGCAGGTTGCGTGGAGGACGGGCCATCCTGTAGCTGGCCTGGAGCAGGGGCAGGAAGAGTCTGTGTTTATGTGTGTGCTTGTGTCTTGGTGGTGTGTATGTGTGTGTGTGTGTAAGACTGGGTCTTGATTGTGCAGATCAGGCTGGTGAATCCCAGCCCTTACCCGTGTCCCTTACCCGTGTGTGTTTGTTTCTAAACATTTATTGCGGGGGGAGGCGGTATTTTCCTTTATCTGTCCGCTGGTGTCAGTGTCTCTCTGTCTGCAGTACCTGTCTGTGTACGCGCATGTGCACGTGTGTGTATGTATATTTCTGAAGGTTTCATCTATCTTCTGTATGTTTCTTGTGTCACTGTGCGTGTATGTGCGTGCACACCTAGTAGTGACTGGGGCTTGGACTCAGGGCCTTGCACGCTTGTACCCACTCTTAGCTTTTTTGTTTTTTTGCCAGTCCTGGGGCTTGAACTCAGGGCGCTGTCCCTGAGCTGCTTTTGCTCAAGGCGAGCACTCTACCACTTGAGCCACAGTGCCATTTCCAGCCTTTTCTGTGTATATGGTACTGAGGACTCGAACCCAGGGCTTCATGCATGCTAGGTGAGCACTCTACCACTAAGCCACAGATCCAGCCCTCACTCTTGGCTTTTTTTTTTTGTAAACTCAGGCTGGCGTTTCTATCCTTTGAGCTACACTGCCACTTTTGGCTTTTTTACTGATCACTTGCAGATATGAATGTCTTTGACTTTTCTTCCTGGGCTTGGCTTGTTTAAAACTGCCCATCTTCAGATCTCAGCCTCCAGAGTAGCTAAAATTACAGGTATAAGCCCAGCTGTTCACTGTTCTTTTGAGGCTCCTGAGTCCTGGATGTGGAGCCTAATACCATAAATGCTTCACGAGCAAAAGTGCCCCAGTTTAGGTTGGCCCAGTGATAATGGCAAAGATGACTCTTTGCCCAGATCCGGGTACTAGTGACTCTTGCCTGTCAGCCTAGCTACTCAGGAGGCTGAGATGTGAGGATCACAGTTCAAAGCCAGCTCCAGCAGAAAAGTCTGTGACACTCTTATCTCCAAGAAACAAGCTGGAAGTGGAGCTGTGGCTAGCTTTGAGCAAAAAAAAAAAAAAAGCTCAGAGACAACATCCAGGTCCTGAGTTCAAGCCCCAGGATTGGCGTGTGCGCGCGCGCACACACACACACACACACACACACACACACACACATATCTTTGCCCTAAGCAATGGTAGGAGCCACAGCTCTGCCCAGCTTCTTCGTTTTTCTTCCTCCTGACTGTGTTGTAGGCTTCCATGAGCCGGTACCAGGCAGCAGTGCTGGGCCTTGGCCTGCTCTTCTTGCTGCTATTGTATGTGGGATTGTCAAGACCCCCTGAACAGGCTTCCTGGCTCTGGAGAGACCCCAATGTCACAATCCTGGCTGGCGTCACCCCAGGCAGCTCTCCTATCTTTTACCGAGAAGTGCTTCCTCTGCACCAGGCACGCAGGTGGGTGCTGATCTAAGCGAGGGTCTAGTGAAGGCACCCCAGTCTGATTTGGGGGTGGGGGAGACCCTGGAAGGACAATGGAGAAGCCTAGAAAGAAAGGAAAAGGAAAGCCGGGCGCTGGTGGCTCCCGCCTGTCATCCTAGCTACTCAGGAGGCTGAGATCTGAGGATCACAGTTCAAAGCCAGCCCGGGCAGGAAAGTCCATGAGACTCTGATCTCCAACGAACCACCAGAAAACTGGCGCTGTGGCTTAAGTGGTAGAGCACTTGCCTTGAGGTGAAGAGCTCTGGGATAGCGCCCAGGCTCGGAGTTCGAGTCCCACGATGGACAAAAATTGAAGGAAGGAAGAAATGGGGAGCCTTTGTAGGTCCCACACCCCACGTTTTCCCCTTCTCCCCACAGGTCGGAGGTGGTTTTGCTCCACGGGAAGGCCTTCAGCTCCCACACATGGGAGAGACTCGGGACCCTGAAGCTTTTGTCCCAGCGGGGCTACCGGACCATAGCCCTTGACCTGCCAGGTGAGTACCCTATCCCTGTGGCTAGGAGATCAGGCTGCTTCAGGAACTTTCCAGAAGGAGGACATTGGAAGAGGAGGGAAACCCTAAGGTTTGATAGTAAGATGTATAGTGGTGTTTCACAGCACAAGATGGTACCATGGAAAAGGTCTTGTATTCTAGTTGAGTGTGAGTGTGTATGTGTGTGTGAGTGTGTATGTGTGTGTGTGTGTGTGTGTGTGTGTGTGTTGGTCCTGGGGTTGGAACTCAGGGCCTGGGCTTTCGCTTAGCTTTGTTGCATAAGGCTGGCACTCTACCACTTGAGCCACACTCCTGGCTTTATGGTAATTGGATATAAGAGTCTCACTTGGACTTTACTGCTGGGGATGGATTTGAACCGTAATCTTCAGATCTCAGCCTCCTGAGTAGCTAGACAGGCATAAGCCACTGGCTCGCAGCTTAAGAATAAATGAATTAATATATACTACCTTACCTTCCATAAAGAGGGCATAGATTTATCCTTCTGTGACTGATGTATGAAAGGGTCTGTTTTCCCACATCTTCTAACATTGGGAATCTTTTTTTTTTAATATTATATTATCCCCTCCCCCCCCAAACAAAGTTTCTGGGCTGGGAATGTGGCCCAGTAGTAGAGTGCTTGCCTAGCATGCATGAAGCCCTGGGTTCGATTCCTCAGTACCACAGACACAGAGAAAGCTGGAAGTGGCGCTGTGGCTCAAGTGGTAGAGTAGAGCAAAAGAAGCTCAGGGACAGCTGGGCGTTGGTAGTTCATGCCTATAATCCTGGCTACTCAGGAGGCGGAGATCTGAGGATCGCAGTTCAAAGCCAGCCAGGTTAGGAAAATCTGTGAGACTCTTTTCTCCAATAAACCACCAGAAAACTGGAAATGGCGCTGTGGCTCAAGTGGTAGAGCACTCGCCTTGAGCTGAAGAGCTGAGGGACAGCGCCCAGGCCCTGAGTTCAAGCCCCAGGACTGGCAAAAAAAAAAAAAGTGTTTCTGGGAGATTTGGGGGTCTCATATGCCATGTGGCATTGCTCCTTGCCGTGGTAGAGATCAGGAAGTGCTGGGCATTTCCTAACTCCTCAGTGGGCATCTGCTTTTCTTGCCAGGCTTTGGGAACTCTGCAGCCTCCAGGGAGGCCAGCACCGAGGCCGGGCGGGCGAGGTTGCTAGAGCGTGTGCTGCAGGATCTCAAGGTGCACAACGCGGTGCTGGTGAGCCCCTCGCTGAGCGGCCTCTACGCCCTGCCATTCCTCATGCAAGGCCACCTCCAGCTACGAGGATTTGTGCCGATTGCACCCACCTCCACCCAGAACTACTCCCAGGAACAATTCTGGGCTGTGAAGGTACTAGAACCTTGACCCTGGTATGCACCATGCTGGGGGTGAGGGGTGGATTTAAGTCTTTCACGGAGGGGGGACAAGGCTCTTGGATGAAAGAGATGGGGTGAGCCAGGAGCTAGTGGCTTCTGCCTGTCATCCTAGCTATTCAGGAGGCTGAGATGGGAGGATCACACGGTTCAAAGCCAGCCCCGGGTAGGAAAGTCTGTGAGACTCTTTTTATTTGTTTTTGTCGGCCGTGGGGCTTGAACTCTGGGCCTGGGCGCTGTCCCTCAGCTCTTCAGCTCAAGGTGAGAGCGCTCTACCACTTGAGCCACAGCGCCACTTCCAGATTTCTGAGTAGTTTATTGGAGATAAGAGTCTCATGGAGTTTCCTGCCCAGGCTGGCTTTGAACCGAGGTCTTCTGATCTCAGTCTCCTGAGTAGCTAGGATGACAGGTGTGAGCTACCGGCACACGGCTTCCTTGAGACTCTTATCTCCAATGAACCACCAGAAAACCAGAAGTGGTGCCATGGCTCAAGTGGTAGAGCGCTCGCTTTGAGCTGAAGAGCTCAGGGACAGCACCCAGGCCCTGTGTTCAAGCCCCAGGAACCAACAATAAGGAGATGGGGGATTGGGGAAAGGCTCCCTACAGACTTACCTTGGGGGTCAGGTGATCATCAGACCTTTACTTTGCCCTACAGACTCCAACCCTCATTCTGTACGGAGAACTGGACCATATCCTCGCCCCCGAGTCTCTGCGGCAGCTCCGCCACCTGCCCAACCACTCCGTGGTGAAGCTGCCTAACGCAGGCCACGCCTGCTACCTCCACAGGCCGAGAGACTTCCATCTTGTCCTCCTTGACTTCCTGGACCATTTGCCTTGAACGGATGACCCGCTTCTCATCCAGGGAGACAGTCCTCAGACTCCAAGGACCGAGGGCTGAAGGGCTCAGACTCAGTCCGGACATATTCACGTCATTTCTCGGTCCCAATAAAGGAAAGCTTATTTGTCTCACCTGGAAAGTTGGCAGGGGTCGTTTCCTTGTGTGTTTTGGGAAAGGTGGGCATGGAAGCAAAGTCTGGGATTGGAGGAGGTGCTCCAGCAAGCTGCGAGTCTAAGAATACGCCTCGTTCTTTCTGATCGTCTCCGTACCTCCATTTTCTTCTCTGTCAAATGGGCATGATGGGCTGGGCAGTGAAGGTTTACAGCTGTGGCACGGCCAGGGGCCTGGTGTGGGGGGCTCTGAGAAGCTGAGTGGAGTGGGTAATCAATGAAGATCGTTGTGGGATGCTGCTGGTTAAGGCCTGTCAGCTACTCGAGGCTGAGATCTGAGGATCAGAATTTGAAGTCTGTGCAGGCAGAAAAAAAATGCTGGAGATGCTTATCTCCAGTTAACCAGAAAAAAAAAAAGGCAGAAGTGGAACTATGGCTCAAGGGATAGAGTACCACACCAGCCTTGAGGGAAAAAAAATGAAGCAAGAACATGAGACCCTTAGTTCAAGGGCAGTCCTGGAACAAAAATAGAAGCTCAAATGTGTATTCGTGGCTAGTTCTCTGTCCTCTGTTCCAAGGACTGAGCTAGCTTGGGCAGTGGCAGGGCTCACAGACTTCAACCCCTAGCAAAAAAGAAGGAGGGGTCTGACACTCCAGATTCCTGGGGTCGAAGTCCCTGACTGATCATTCATTTCTAATGAGAGAGCAACTCAGCAGAGTGGTTCAACACCAATGCTCTTTTAATTCTCAATCCAGTTTCCCCATCCCCACATTTACATGCTTGGCAATGTGTGTGTGTGTGTGTGTGTGTGTGTGTGTGTGTGTGTGTGTGTACTGGGAGCTTCCACTCTCTTCTTGGTTGTATTACTCAGACTGTGCAGGAGGCTGAAATCTGAGGATCACAGTGGAAGCCAGGCCTGACACGAACTGTCTTTGAGGACTCTTAGCTCCTATGAACCATCAAAAAACTGGAAGTGGAACTATGGTTCAAGGGGTAAAGTGCTAGTCTTGAGTCAAAAATAAAATAAAGGGATACAAACAAAAAGGTGCAATGCCTGTGTGCATCTGATCGTGTACAATAATATCTATTGAAATTAACTCTAGGGAAAAAAATTAACAACAGCAACTAAAAGGTCAGGGACAATGCCTGAGCTTTGAGTTCAAGCCCAGGACCCTCACAAAAGAAAGAAAGGAAAGAAAGAAAGAAAGAAAGACAGACAGAAAGAAAGAAAGAAAGAAAGAAAGACAGACAGAAAGAAAGAAAGAAAGAAAGGAAGGAAGGAAGAAAGGAAGGAAGGAAGAAAGGAAGAAAAAAGAAAGGATAGAAAAATCCAAGGCAGGTGCTGGTGGCTCAAACCTATAATCCTAGCTACTCAGGAGACTGAGATCTGAGGATCATGGTTCAAAGCCAGCCTGGCCAGGAAAGTCTGTGAATAAAGCAGGAAGTGGCGCTGTGGCTCAAATGGTAGAGAAGAGCAAGAAATAAAATACACAGCAACTGTTGCCACTTTGACCCACAGGGCACGCCCCCTTCCCTCTCGCCCTATCAGGAAGCTGGAGGAGAAAGGTGGAGTCGTCTGAGGGCGGGACTATCCTGAGCTCCGGGTTCACTACCTCGGACAGGAGCGTGGGGCGTGGCCTGCGGGGAGGTTCTATGGGCGTGGCCTGCGGGGAGGTTCTATGGGCGTGGCCAGCAGGCGGCTCTCTGGGAGTGGTCCGCGGGTGGATCCGTAGGCGTGGCCTCGCGGGAAGGGGCGTGGCCAGCCCTGAGCTCGTCCCTTTCGGGGGCGGGATCCCGGATCGCGGGTTGCAGTGATCCAGTGGAGGCCTCGCGCCAGGGGCGGGCGGAGACGTCGGCGCGGGGACGGGCGGGCGGGGGACGGGCTGGGACGGTCCTCTTCGTCCCCGCCCAGCGGCTGGGGCCACGTGGTGGGGCCGATCGCCGCTGATTTGAGCTTTAGACCTCGGTGGACCCGGAGTTCAGGCCACAGTCCGGGGCGGGCGGGCGTCGGGAGGCCAGCGCGGGTCAGGGCCGCGAGACGCCAGGTGAGGGGTCTCCGGGGAGGACGGGGGATTCTGGGGGGTTGACTGCGGGGAGGGGGAACTGGGGAGCCTCGGGGAGG